TGGAGACGTCAGGTTCAGGGAGTTTCCCACTGCCAAGCCAGCCACACCTGAAAGTTACTGACACTTAGCTGTTGCCGATCAACCCCATGTGAAGAGTTATTTAACAGCTGTGCTGAGCTTCAGTCGAAGCTGGATCGTTGAGAGTCATCAACAAGTGTATGACAGAGTTTCAGAGTGGAGTTGGCAGGTACTCATCGTTTGCTTGTTTATTTTACAGGCACAAGTGGAAGGAGTTGAGCACTTTTGTACATAAACACCACTCACCATGGACACAGTAGAAGTCACAGCAGGGGAACGGAGAGTGAGCACGAAAGGGGAAAAGGAACTCACACATAGAGGACTGTTGCACTTTCCGTCAGTGTTGTTTCACTGTAAATAAAATCACTAATTCTGCAGAGAGAGTCCTGGGTTTGGGTCCTGTATCCACACCACCACACTTGACAAGATGGCTATATCCACTGTCATGCCACCTATTGGTTTGTGAGTTTACTGCTCACAAACCAAGAGACTGGAGAGGTTGCCAGTCTTTTACATGGGTGACAGAGGGACAGACAACCACTCATTATCACTTTGACACGTGTTACTGAATTTAGAATGACCAATTAACCTAACACCATTCATGTCTTTGGATTGGAGGATGAAGCAAGAGTATCCAGAGAGGGCATGCAGATATAGGCCCCAACCTATATTTGAAACCCACAACCTATTTCATGTCAGGCAGAAGTACTAATCACCAAAGTACCATGCTGTCCAACATCTGAAGACTTTAGACTAATTAGAAAGATGGAGTTATGTGATCTAATAAGATTAATAAAAAAAGATCTATGCATTTGTTTTCATATTTTCACAGAATTACAAAGAATACAGAGAGTCTAGCTGTGGGACTTCACAAAAAGAATAATTTGTGCAATATGTGATTGACTAATTGTAAAGTAAGCAACCTCTGACATCTGTATGAATAAATGCATATAAAATCTTTGCTTGTGTCTTCAGCGCACAGTAACTCAGGTAACATAAAAAACAGAACTTTCTGAGGGGTTTTAAGTATAAAATGCTCTGTTTAACCCTTTAGAGCCGATCGGAGCGGACACGCTCTGTTTTGCGTAACTATTTTTAAATCCCGGTAGC